GGCACTTATTCTATTACCTTGATTATAAACATGTTAGATATTGTTTATGACATTAGATATTCTATTAAATCAACGAGTAGTATACCCTGTAATGATCAGAAAGTGTTAGTGTGTATGTGTTTTTTTCGCTTTATTGCTTAACTTAGTCTTAAGTAGTTGATTTATTTAATAAAGTAAAAAGTAGTATTCAATAAGCCTCCAGGCTAGTACAGTGGTAACATGTCGGCTTCTCATCCGAGGGGTCGGCGGTTCGCGCCCCGCCCAGGCGCGAGTTGCAATTGTCGCCTGTGGGTTACTGCTGTGGCTGGGCACCACGGTGGGTAAGGACTAAGCCGAGTCAGCACCAGCTGACACACTGTTAGCGAGTTGACATTAGTCGGCACAGGCCGGGCTCCCCTCATAGCCCGAGCGAAGCTCAGCTTCGCATATCGGACTTATCCTTAGTATTCAATAACACTACTAATTCTGGAAACAAGATATTCATACAATATAAGCTATTAGGAAATACATTAATAGATAAATAAGAACATATCTATGATACGGAAACGGGAAACAAAAAAACGACAAATTATAAAAATACAAAGATAATTTTTTTCATAAAATTTATCGTTTTCTTCCCTTCTATCTTTCTATCTCGTGCATCAAATATGCCTGTCTGTTTCTTGCATATTTCTTTCATACATATTCTCTAGTGTCCTCTTACTTTCTCATTATTCAGATTTATGCTCTCTCTCTTTTTTCAACTATCATTAATTCATATCGAAATAAATTAGTGGTCTTTAATCATCGTTTGAATCACAATGCAAATTGAGTGAAATACCATCCTTGAAATTTCGTAGCCACATTTTCACATTTAATAAACGTTCTTGAAGTTTAAAGCATTAAATGTTTATTAACTTTTCTTCACGTGTTGTTTCTTTCATTTCCACTATTTATTGAAGTCACAATGAAGCAACAATGGTCATTTGCATTCAAACCAAACTCTTTGCAATGCGAGTACATTCTCTTAGATAAAGAGGATACATATTTCACACTCGGGGGAGAGAAATGAAGAGAGAGAGAGAATTAAAGTGGCATATGGAAGCAGGGTAGAAAGTTAATAAATATGAGAAAAATCAAATGAGTGGCCAGATATTATGAAGTGCACAATCCTCATTTTAGGTGGGAATGGTGATAGAAATAAGTAGAAAAAAAAAATGTCAGATGACTGTACACTCTACGTCCTGAATACATACGTGAAAGGCAAGATGAAGAGGGCAAATTTAAACTACACAATATTAATTTCTTATCTATATGACCATCATAATGATAATGACAATTCCGAAACATAACACCTAAAACCTTAATATTCCAGTGACAGACAATTTAGATAACTGTACTTGGAAAAATATAAATTTCAAGTTACATAATAGAAATAGAATTGTCTTCAGACAGATGGAAAGAGACCGTCACAGATAAAGGGAAAGTGAGTGAATGAGAGGCTCTTGCCAGTAATAAGGATATTATTATCACTAAGATTATTGTGAATGGCAATATTTTGATTGTAAATTAAAGCATGTAAGTGATATCGTTATGAATACGTTTCTTTATTTCAAATCTCCCGCTCATTCCAGTGGCTGTGCGAAGCGAAAGTCATTTTCACCAAAACGAATGTCTTATTTCTGCCTGTGGAAAATGAACACTATACAGGTAAATTTGTTTGTAAATCCCCGTATGTACTTTCTTGTTTTGGCAGCTATGCATTCGGTACTTGCAGGCACGACTTATTTCCCCCTGAAGGACGGTTGTGCATCGCGGCGGGCACTGCTGAGCCTACGAATTTGTAAGTTTTGGGGCTTGGTTAGGAGAAGAAGATAATGAACATGTGTATATTTTCTTCCTTAGTTTTGCTGTATCATACTAATGTGTGCTTCGCCCCCCCCCCCCCCCTTCGTCTCCATTCTCCCGTATTTCAATGTTTTAAGTTCCATTTGTATTACCGATGTCCTGGGTATGACCATAAATTGCATCCAGTGATGAGACTCTAGTTCGGGAGATCTGGAGTTTGGGGGAAAGTGGAGCTACCCCTTAATCATCACTGCTCCCAGCTCCTCTCTCACCCAGAGAGGTAGCACCTGAAAGGGTGCCAGATATGGGGTTACATATCCTGATGTTGGGCCGCAGTAACATTAGTACCTAGAACTGGCGGAAGAACCATTTCGATGGCCAACGGTAGATCCAAGGATGACAGTAGACAGGTCATTTATCCTGACTTTGGTTGCTGTTCTGCGGGTGGAGTAGTTCTGGGGGCCTGTTTCACCTATTAGCCTCTTCGTACAACCAACAACCGGTTGCCGGCTTGTACTCCGGGCCAGTCATATAGGGCAGAGATCACACCAGAATTCGTGTTACATTATGTTTGTCTTGCGCGGTGTTCATCCACAAAACTTGGGGTGAAGGAAACACCAGTATAAGATTTCGTAGGTTCTTTTGAGGCCAAACATAACACCAAAAAGGAACTTCTCATGCACCTGCGCCGCACGCCAATCCCGCCCGAGGGAGCGGTGCCTTCATGCGAGGACAAGTAAAACACAAAATGTACGTTTTATATCGTACAAGAAACATTGTACATTAATATAAAAAGGATATCCTACACACTTAACATTAATGTATAATGCTATGAGTATCACAATATGTGCATGGTAATACTTCCACTATCACAACTCGTACGAAATTCACTATCACATCACTGTCACATATATACACTAATAATGTCGTAATCACAACCAACCCACAGGTAAGTGACTTATAACTTTCTGTCATGACCACCTTTTAGTTCGAGAGACACTCGAGAAAACTCGATTCTTAGCCATGAGTGCGAAAACTACGTAAAAAAGAATAAAAGACGTAGTAAAATACATATAAATATTTATTTGTTCACAAGCAAAAGGAAATGTTTATTTCGACCTAAGTAAATAAATAAATATTTCTATTTTGTCACATACATCAGAAGGGGCCAGCTACGTCATGCATACATATATATATATATATATATATATATATATATATATATATATATATATATATATATATATCGGATATTTCTAAAACCTCCACACAGTGCTGCGCAGAAATCCCCCAGAGGGCAAGAGGCGTTCCACCGGCGACCTATATCTTGCAGCTGAGGTTCCACGACAGGATTCGAATCTGCTTCGAACTTTCCCCGACCACTTGCGCGCCTCGGCCTCGGAGCTCCTGCCTGACGCTCTGCACCTGAAGGGCGTCTGCCGAAACAAAGGGATCTGCTCTCAGCAAAGCATTCTATTATGCCTCGGTCGTCAGCTTCCAGGCCTCGCAAGCATGAAGGAAATCCCTTTCCCCAGGAGGCCTGGATGCTAACGGAAGCGCCCGCGTCCAGGAACAGAGCTGCTATAAGCGCATTTTTCTCAAATACTCTCCTTTTGCTACATGCCATGAGATAAGACGTGCTACCTACCGCAGCCTAATGGGACGTACACGTCGAACTCCTGTCTACGTGAAGAGCAGAGGACGTGCACGGCGTCGCACACCCACACCCAGGAAGGGGGCGTGACATGCTTGAGGTCCAGAGTCAGGAACGTTGCCTCACAGGGAAGGGCACACAGAGAGTCAACTGGAGGGCAGTCCAGCAGCCTTACAGCTGACGAAGAAAAAGTAGCATTGCCATAAGAGTGACTGGTCATCAGTGATAGCAACAATGGTCATTAGCCAATGAATTCAACCAATACATACTCAACAAGAACAGCTTTGTCAAGCAGGGAAGTCTCCTTGCCAGAGCCCGGAGACCCGCGCCGTCTGTCTGGACCCTGAGCGAGAAGAGCACCTCGGGCAGGAGGGGCATCTCTGCCTCCGTCAGGTGGCCTTCGAAGTCTGTCGGAAATTCAATATTTACTGCCTTCTTCATTCCCATATTGATAATATAGATAAAGACATTCCTGCTACTGCTAGCTTTGTTTCTGCATATATAATTCATGAATGACTATTTGCTTTAACGTTGACAGGTGACGACCTCCCACCTAAATGCTCCAGCTTCACCAGGCGAGGAAGGCTTGCTGCCAGGGCCCTGAAGCCTTCCCTGTCCGTCTTCACTTCCAGCTTCCTCAGGATGCTGGGCAGGAGGCGCACCTCGGAGGCTGTCAGTTGACCCTTGAAATCTAATAGGTGTTTTCTGACTTAATAACTGTTGTATTTGCATGCGCGGACACCTACACATACACATATGTGTGTGTGTGTGTGTGTGTGTGTACATGTGTTTAAATAAAAATATATAGATAGATTTGTATTTGTGTGTATGTGTGTGTGTGTATACAATATATATGTGTGTGTGTGTACAAGAGAATATTGATACTAGAGAGAATATTGATACTAAACAGTATGGAAATATTACTAGAATTGATTTTCATCATTCTCCTCATAATAACATCAAAGGTGAGAGTAACATAAATAATGGCCCTGTAAGAGGTCCATATAGCATGTACTGCCTGTGCTGAAGTTAAAGCTCTGTCCGCCACAGTTCAACCTGGACAAGGACATGGAGTTCTGTGATGAGAATCCGAGAGTATAGGACAGACGAAACTTGAGTCATGAAATTGTCTCAGCCTTGCACCAACCCCAAAAGACTATCAGCTCTACTGAATGACAATGCTCACTAGCCTTGGCTCGCCCATGGTGCTGAATGTGCCATTGCCACGACAAGACTCATTACAAGACTATAATTTCCTACTACTTGTCAGGAACTCACCTAAGATCTGAAGTCTCTGTAGAAGTTGAAGCCTCGTCACTAAAGCCCGCACTCCCTCCCCGTTAGACATGGTTCTCATCTTTTCCAGGCTCTCAGGAAGAAGCTGCATCCCGACCGCTGTCAATTCACCTTCGAACTTGGTCAGCCGACAAACACTTCCTGGGCCTGTGGTTGCCCGGAGACATGCCTCAGAAAACTGAAGAGAACCCTTTAAATCATTTATTATGAGTATGAGTTCAATGTTCTGCTTGGACAATGCCTCCAGACCAGAGACCTGCCAGCTTGGTGGCAACTCTTCTGTCTCTTTACTCATGAAGACTTCCACGCAGGAAGGCCTGACGTAGTCAAACAAAGCTACGAAGCCAGGCAGATACTCCCCTCGAGTCATTAGTGTGCCACTGTTTCCCAGCACTTTGGCAGCTGCCTTTAAGATACTGGGATGTTGTCCCGAAGCCATCACCGTCTCACAGATCCTGTAGCAACTGTTTTTACTGATAAGATGAGATTGATCACTGTATAAAATAAAGCTGATGATTGCATATGCAAACTTATCCAGAAAGTTTTCCTGTGACAGTGACAAAATGTGTGTAACACTAAAAATAATATGCATGGCTTGTGTTGATATGTTTCCTGGTATATTGTTCCATACCAATCCTCTTGCCTCTTCAATATTGTCTGCATAAATCTTTAGAATAGGGTTTTTGGTGAACATAAAGGTTACTACTTCCTCCTCAGTTGGCAGTCCTGGCATGCCAATCTTTTTCTTCTTCTCGGCATCAGTTAGGAAAGCAAAATCCAACAAACCTGTCATGTTTGGCAGTGAGTGGGACATCTTTGATAACTGTGTAGCTATATGGCTTGCAGCCCAGTGTTCTTGAAATCGATTGTGTGGGAAGGACCACATTTGGACGGTAAACAGACCCTGACGACATTTCTTTGAAATGAGGAATCCAGATAAAATTTCCATATACGGTAGATCGAGGCTGTTACACTTTGCTATCAAAGCCTCCACAGTTTCTGGCAACAAATCATGTTCCTGTCTCTTCAAACATCGTAGAGCAACTGCCTTCAGGAACTCTTGGTAATCTTTAACTTTGTCGTCAGCTTCATCAATACCCCTCACTACTAATCTCTCTTCGATCTTTCCTGCCATGAGGTTTGTCAAATCCTCGTAAATGCCCTGTGAACTCTGACCCGGAGCTTCAATCTCTCGCATAATCATGAGCACCAAGGTCAATGGAACAGTCAGATCCACCTTTTCCAGAACCAGCCTTTGAAGCCGTGTGGTGACTTTCTCTTTTATTGTAGACCTGCAAAGTGGGTCCTGGACGAGAGCAGCCAAAGTGCTTTCGACGAAGTAAGGACAATCTTCCTGTCGTATTCCCTTGATCTCAATGTGTATTACATGTTTTTCATTCACTATATTGTTTAGTTCCATCAGACAACTTGGTCTAGTGGTTATCACAACACGCATGTTTCCTTGGTACGTTGCAAGATCAGTCACAAGTTTCTTTGCCTCTTCGGTAACCTCATCGTAACCGTCCAGAAGCACGACAACTTGCATTTCTCGAAAGAGATCAACAAAGAAGTCAACCGTAAGGCCAGACTCCTGACATGTGTCGTAAAGGACGTTCGTGAGCAAATCCTTCCAGCTGCTGATGCTGGAGCCTCGGAGTTGCAGGTAGAGAAGGGGTGAGACGTCTTGAAGGCCCCCGATTTGCGAGGGATCTCTCACCCACATCTCCAGCATGTATTTCAGCAGAGTGGTTTTTCCTATTCCTCCTTCCCCTGATATCAGGATCACTTCAGGTAGGCCTCCTTTTGGGTGCGTGGTTTGCAAGAGGTCTTTCAGGGGTAAGTTACGAAAGCTTTGCGAACATGCCGTGTTTTCCAGGAGGATCAAGTTCGTAAAATTCATACTCGGTCGGACTGTCAGCTCCGGATATAGCCACTGCGCAAGAGTCACATCCCACAAATGAGGATAGAGGTCGCACAACTCCTGCCGGCTGCGCTCCTCCACCTTTCGCCGAAGGGTTTCCCTGAATACCTGGATTTCCTGCTGCAGTTGTGGGAGACTGTTCATTTCTGAGGCCTGGAGAGGTTCTCTGACCTTCTTCGTGAGGTCCTGCAAATCCTGCTTGGCCTGCCAGACCTCGCCACGCAGGACATGTGGGGGTATTCCACACCGGCTCCCTGCCAGCCGAAGGATCCTCGAGAGAAGACGCCGGAGTCTTCCCAATTCCCTTTTCAGCTTCTGGTCCGACATCTGCTGCACGTCCTTCGAGCGCGTAATGCCGCTTTGCTTCTGGCTTAGCCTGTGGATGAGATGTTCCAGGGGCTGGCCTGTGAGAGGGCACGCCCAGGCTGGATCGCTCGGCCCAGCGAGTCCACACATGAGCTGGAGGACGAGCAAGAGCAGGGGCAAGCCATATTCCTCGAAGGGAGCACCATTTTCCAACAGCTTTCTTTGTTCACTGTTAAACACGCGTCTGTAGTCAGCTTCTTGGTGTCCTAGGCTGAGAAAATAAGTCCTGACGCATGGTCCCCCTTGGTACAGCCACTGCGCCGCCTGCGCGAGCACAGCGCGGCCCGTGGTGCCGACGGCCACCTGATAGCGGAAGCCGTTGACTGCGTGTCTTGTGAGCTGCGTTGAGGTGGGCGGCTGCTGCTGGGACGCCATCCTCAAGGGCCTCGGCGATCCTCCGTGCTGCTTTGGTACCGTCTCGAGCGGAGGCCACGAAGCGGTTCGCGGAAATGCGCTATCGAATTGCGAGGTCCTTGAATTTAGTATATAATTATTGTAGCTGCGAGGCAGCCACGGAAGTCCAGGCAAACTTCTTCACCCCCTGTGAAAGTATGAAGCAATTAGTATGTTCAAAAGATTATAAAAAAGGAAGAAAATGTGTATGTATTTATATCAACATCATCAGCTTGAATCAATTCACTGCAGGACGTAGGCCCTTTCCAATCTTTTCCAACTTTTTTGTCTTTTTTGTTTCCAGTCTTGGCCCCCAATTTCAAATAGATAAATATATATATATGTATGTGTGTGTATATATATATATATATATGTGTGTGTGTGTGTGTGTGTGTGTGTGTGTGTGTGTGTATACATATATATATATATATATATATATATATATATATATATATATATATATATATATATATATATACATCATATATATAAATTTATCTATTTATTTATATGTATATAGATATATTTTATAAATATATAGTATATTTACATATACATATACATACATATATAAATATATACATATAAATATATGTATATACATATAATATATGTATATATGTATATATATATATATATATATATATATATATATATATATATATATATATATATATATATATATATGTATATATGCAACTATATACAACCAAATTACTGGAGAGGAAACTAATGAGTGCTTGTATGCATGTATGTGTGTGTATACATAAATACATACATACATACATACATATATATGTATGTATGTATGTATATATGTGTATATATATATATATATATATATATATATATATATATATATATATATATATATATATATACACATATATATACATATACATATATATACATATATATACTTATGTGTGTGTATAGATAGATAGATAGATAGATGTGTATGTGTATATATATATATATATATACACACATGTACGCGTGTGTGTGTATGAACACACACATACATATAATATATATATATATATATATATATATATATATATATATATATATATATATATATATATATATATATATATATATATATATATGTATGTATATATATATATATATATATATATATATATATATATATATATATATATATATATATATATATATATATGTATACATATATATATATATATATATATATATATATATATATATATATATATATATATATGTATGTATACATATATATATATATATATATATATATATATATATATATATATATATATATATATGTATGTATGTATTTACACAAATTCATTTCTGTTTTTATATATATACATATACATATATATATATATATATATATATATATATATATATATATATATATATATATAATGTGTGTATGTATGTGTGTGTGTGTGTGTGTGTGTGTGTGTGTGTGTGTGTGTGTGTGTGTGTGTGTCTGTGTATATGTGTGTGCACACGTACGCACAAACACACGCACACGCGCAAACTCGCACACACACATGTCTGTATGAGTGAGTGGGTGGGTGGGTGGGTGGGTGAGTGAGTGGGTGGTTGAGTAGGTAGGTGAGCGAGTGAGTGAGTGAGTGGGTGGGTGGGTGAGTAGGTAGGTGAGCGAGTAGGTGAGTGACTGACTGAGTGGGTGGGTGAGTGATTGAGTGAGTGAGTGAGTGAGTGAATGAGTGAGTGAGTGGGTGGGTGAGTAGGTAGGTGAGCGAGTGAGTGAGTGGGTGGTAGGTAGGTGAGTGATTGAGTGAGTGTGTGTGTCTCTTTTCTGTGTACATGTATGAACTGTATTCATGTTGACAGATGTCTAAAAGGTAGGAATGAAAATGAAAATCGGTTTCGATTATATCTTCGTCAGAAATACATTCCTGAAAAAGACATAATCGAAACTGGTCGAATACATCTCTTGTATTGTGAAGATATTCATTCTCATTCATACCTTGTGTATATGTATACTTATGTATGAAGAGATGGTTAGTTAAAAGATTGATATATGCACTTCTGCCTATATCCATAAGTAAACACACAGCGCCTATACCTTCAATATAGATTTGCAGTTTGCTCCTCTCCGGTTCCTCTCTGTCTCTTCTCACCTGCGCGGCGGGCGGTTCCACGAAGCAGGTCCTTTTTAAGACGCTAATGGCAGACGAGCCAGCACGCCGCAAGCAGCGCAAGCATCACTGAAGCACGTGCTGTGAACAGCCACTAATCACACAATACATTTCCCCCCAGCATGCTGAATCTACAACGCGATTCCAGTTCGCGCTGCCGTGGTTTGATGTAGTTGATGAAGTGCTGTGTATTTTTTTTATTTTTTTAGTTAGAATAAACAATGCAGAAACACGCAAGAGCAGGATTAATTCGCGAGCGAGCAAGACCCACCTGTAACGAGGGCGGCGCGAGCAACGTCTACAGAAGGAACTGCACAGACCATGAGCAGGCGGTGGCCGGGGTTGCCGTCGGCGGGCCCTCACAAAGTACAGCTTGTGGTGAAGGGGCGTTCGTGTCTCGCTGTTCAATTAATTGTTGTTCTGTCTTTGATTTTGTGTTCTGTCTACTAAATTATTTAGCGTTTGGAGGGAGACGAAGAGACAGAACGCAGGGAATTAATTAGTAGAAATTTGCCACGTGAAAACTCGACGATGACGTTAGCGACGAAAACGTTACTACGGAATGACAAGAAATATTTCTCTCTTCTCTCTTCTCTCTTCTCTCTTCTCTCTTCTCTCTCCTCTCTCCTCTCTCCTCTCCCTCTCTCCTCTCTCCTCTCTCCTCTCTTCTCTTCTCTCCTCTCTCCCTCTCTCCTCTCTCCTCTCTCACTTCTCCTTCTCCTTCTCTCGCTGTTCAATTAATTATTGTTCTGTCTTTGATTTTGCGTTCTGTCTACTAAATTATTTAGCGTTTGGAGGGAGACGAAGAGACAGAACGCAGAGAATTAATTGGTAGAAATTTGCTACATGAAAACTCGACGATGACGTTAGCGACGAAAACGTTACTACGGAATGACAAGAAACATTTCTCTCTCTCTCCTCTCTTCTCTCTTCTCTCTTCTCTCTTCTCTCTCCTCTCTTCTCTCTTCTCTCTTCTCTCTCCTCTCTCCTCTCTCCTCTCTCCTCTCTCTTCTCTTCTCTCTTCTCTCTCCTCTCTCCTCTCTCCTCTCTCCTCTCTCCTCTCTCCTCTCCCCTCTCTTCTCTCTCCTCTCTCCTCTCTCCTCTCTCCTCTCTCCTCTCTCCTCTCTCCTCTCTTCTCTCCCTCTCTCCTCTCTTCCTCTCTCACTTCTCCTTCTCCTTCTCTCGCTGTTCAATTAATTATTGTTCTGTTTTTGATTTTGCGTTCTGTCTACTAAATTATTTAGCGTTTGGAGGGAGACGAAGAGACAGAACGCAGAGAATTAATTGGTAGAAATTTGCCACGTGAAAACTCGACGATGACGTTAGCGACGAAAACGTTAGTGTACGAAATGACAAGAAATCTCTCTCTCTCTCTCTCTCTCTCTCTTTCTCTCTCTCTCTCTCTCTCTCTCTCTCTCTCTCTCTCTCTCTCTCTCTCTCTCTCTCTCTCTCTCTCTCTCTCTCTCTTGCACCCTCATCCCCTCATCCCCCCACCCCCCGAGCAGTGTACTTAGTCTGAAACCAGGGAGGATTACCAAACCTCTCTTTCCGTGTAATCACCATAACCCGAGGGTCTTTGGGGAATCCCGGGGGTGGATGACGCAGTTATGACGTCATGGCGAGTGTTGCCGTTGCAGGGTCCCAATTTTTGGATGATGCAGTACTCTCCCCTCCATTCTCTCTTTTTATATATCTATCATTCTATCTGTCTATCTATCTATCATGCCTCCCTCCCTCCCTCTGTTTCCCTCTCTCTCTCTCTCTTTCTCTCTCTCTCTCTCTCTCTCTATCTATCTATCTATCTCCATCTATCTATCTATTTCTCTCTATATATATATATATATCATCATCATCATCATCATCATCATCAGCCTGGGTCAATCCACTGCAGGACGTAGGCCTATCCCAATCTTTTCCATCCATGTCTGTCTTGCGCTTTTTGTTCCCAGTCTTGGCCCCCAAATTTCGCTATTTCATCGCGCCATCTTGTCACAGGTCTGGCCCTTGGCCTCCTAATGTTATCTATAACCCAGTCTGTTACTTTCCCTGTCCATCTGTTGTCCTGTCTCCGGCATATATGACCTGCCCATTGCCATTTTTTTCTTTTTGATGCTCCCGAGTATATCTTCCACTTTTGTCTGTTCCCTAATCCACGTCGCTCTCATCCGATCTCTTAGACTAATTCCCAGCATCAACCTCTCCATCCCTCTCTGGGCACTTACTAGTTTCCTTTCCAATGATTTGGTTGTAGTCCATGTTTCTGATCCATAGGTCATAACTGGGAGGATACATTGGTTAAAGACTTTTCTTTTTAAACATAATGGCAAGGAGCCTTTTAGTATGCAACTGTGTCTGCCGAAGGCGCTCCAGCCTAAACTGATGCTTCGCTTAATTTCCTCTTCGCTAGATGTGTTTGTCTGTACGAGTTGCCCTAGGTATATATACTTGTCTACTACCTCTAGTGCTTCGCCTTGAACATGTATCTCTTCGAATTGAACTCTACTGTTTGACATGATCTTAGTCTTTTTCTTGTTCATCCTAAGACCGACTTTCAGGCTCTCTCTATTCAAATCATTTATTAATTGCTGCAATTCATTTGCGGATTCACTGAAGAGAACAATATCATCTGCAAATCTTAGATTGTTTAGGTATTCGTCCCCAATTCTAATACCCTTTCCGGTCCATTCTAGCTTCTTGAATATTTCCTCAAGGCAAGCTGTAAACAATTTTGGTGAGATGGTATCGCCCTGTCTAACACCTTTCTTAATTGGGATTTTATCGGTTTCTGTGTGGAGCTTGATGGTTGCTGTCCCATCCTCGTATATATTTTCTAATAATTTACAATATATCTCCTCTACTCCCTGTCTTCGAATAGCTTCTAGTACTGCTGGTATTTGTACAGAGTCAAATGCCTTTTCGTAATCGATGAATGCCATACACAGGGGTTTCCTATATTCGTTTATTTTTTCTCTTATTTGGGTGAGAGTGTGGATGTGGTCTGTTGTTGAGAATCCACTGCGGAAGCCTGCCTGTTCTCTAGGCTGGTTAGAATCCAGACTGTCAGAGATGCGAGTTGTGATGATTTTGGTGAACAGTTTGTAAGTAACTGAAAGGAGACTTATGGGTCGGTAGTTCTTTAGATCTTTCCTGTCTCCTTTTTTATGAATCAAAATAATTGTTGCATTTTTCCAGGCTTTCGGAATTTTTCCATTGAGGAGGCATTTGTTAAAAAGATTGGCTAGTTTCACTGTTGCAATTTCTCCCGCGTCTATTATAAGGTCTATACTAATACCGTCTTCACCTGGTGTTTTCCCTCTCTTCATGCCTTTAAGCGCTCTATTTATTTCTTCTGTTGTGATATCAGATACTTCTCTAGCTACCGCGTTCGCTTCAATTTGTGGCTGTTCATTTGTGTTGTATAGATCCCTGTAAAAGTTTTCTACTACTCTGATGATTTCATTCTTATTATATGTTACCTCTCCGTCTGGTTTCTTTATTGCATATATTTGATTTCTCCCTATTCCTAGTCTCCTTTTAGCTGTTTTCATGCTGGTACCTGAGATCACTGCTTCATTTATTATTTGAGTATTGAATTTCCGTACGTCTTCTCTCTTCTTTTTATTTATAGTTTTTGTTAGTTCAGCTAATTCTATTTTGTCCCTATTTGACGATGCTTTCATGACCCTACGTTTTTGCATAAGTTCTTTAGTTTCCATCGAGAGCTTACTGGAGCTTTGTTTGACGTTCTTACCGCCTACTTCAAGTGCAGCTTCCTTTATTATGTCATTGAACTGTTTGTTGATCTGATCAATGTTGAGATCCTCATCACTGAGAAGTGAATATCTGTTTTGGATGTTAATGCTAAATTCTATCGCCTTGGTCTTCAATTTAGCCAAGTTTGTCTGCGGTTTTCGTATGAGTTTATTCCTTTCCCTTCTGAGGTGTAATGGTCGCTGCCAACATTTACCTTATTAATAACTTCCACATTTTTTACTATATCGCGCCTATTTGAAATTATGAAGTCAATTTCGTTTTTGATATCCGATGGCGACTTCCATGTCCACTTCCGCTCTAGTCTTTTTTCGAAGAATGTATTCATGATATTGAGAGATCGAGCCTCCGCAAAGTCGACTAGCATTTGTCCCCTCTCATTCCTAGTGCCTATTCCGTGATTCCCCACTACGGTTTCTCCTTCTGTCTTTTTACCTATTTTGGCATTGAAGTCACCCATAATTATTGTGAAATGGGTTTTTACTCTTTCGCTGGCTAAATGAACATCTTCATAGAAGCTTTCTATTTCGTCATCACTGTGGCTGAAGCCACTCTTTCGCTTATACTATGGAATTCTACGATATTCTTTTCTAAACGTCTGTGAACTAAGAAACCTACCCCTAATTCTTGCTTGCTGCCCTGAGGTTTACCTCTCCAATAGAGCACGTGTCCATCATTTAGTATCTTCTGTTCTTCACCTAGTCTTCTAACCTCACTGAGTCCTACAACATCCCATTTAATGAAAGAGAGTTCCTCAAGTAATGCTAGTAAGTCGGATTCCGTTCTCATTGTCCTTATATTATATGTGCAAAGGTTCATCAACGTAGGGCGGCCTGTTCTTGGCCGGGGATTCTTAGCACCCTCTGCTCCGGAGCGATCCTGATCGCCGCCGTAACCAGGGGCTCCTTCGCTTCCGGGGAATGAGGGCCGTAGCTCTGTTTGTGCAGTCATGGGTTTCGATTGTGAGGTAGACAGCCGAGTTACCTCCCGCCTACTGGCCTAAGTGTATCTTGGTGGGAGAGGGAGTATTTTAGTCGGGATGCCACTGATAAGCCCCTCCAGCAAGACTGGGCCTGTCTAGTGTGGACTTATAACCAGTAACACACGGGCCTGCTCATTACACCAGGGTATACTCCCGTGAGCATGGGCTTGAGTATCGGAAGTGCGTATAAGTGTGGTTGTATTTTATACACTGATTTTATTTGTGTGTGTGTGTGTGTGTGTGTGTGTGTGTGTGTGTGTGTGTGTGTGTGTGTGTGTGTGTGTGTGTGTGTGTGTGTGTGTGTGTGTGCCGCCACGCCGCCTCGCTTTCCTTTAGCTGCTTCTCTTTAATTATTTCTTTGATGTTTTTCCATGTTCCGTCTCAATCACCACACACACACACACATACACATGTGTGTTTGTGTGTGTTTTCCTAACCATGACCGACGCCACTGTCATTCTCGAGGGCAAGTGGGTATTGCAAGCCCCACGAGAATCAGCAATTGCCTGACCTGCGCCGGGAAGCACGCGGCCACAGCTCAGGCACTTCCCCGGGCATGTGGCTCGCTTCGAGGGCCCAAGAGTACAGGGATCACCAAAGGCCTGCTGGAGTTTCTGTGATTTATTTCAGTTCAGCAAATACAGAACGCAGAGATGAAAATAAGACAGATTCTACTCAGATCACAGAAGTGGTAACATATAAATCAACTAAATAATAACTATAGAAATATCTTCAGAGGACATGGAAGACTTTGCACCCTTAATCACAGAAGATTGAAGTTTCTAGATCTTCGGAATTTGAGCAAGAACGACATTTACTTTTGTCACACCACCGACCCGCCAGCCACAAACAGAGGCAGGATATCTCGCGCGCGAAAAGGAAAACAGTAAGAGAGAAACCCTGCGTGCGGCGGGAGCCCTCCGCTGTGCCTTCAGGCTGCGCCGCGAGGGAGCCACGGCCGGCGGCCACCACGCCCCTGGCTGCGCGGACTCTTCTACTACTTGCTTTTCTTTTTTTCCGCTGTTTGTGGGAGAAACGTCGCTCACAATTACACACTATTTCATGGCGTCTAAATTTCTTTTTCTAGGAGAGAAGTTGCACGCTGGAGGCATCTTGGCGTGTGTGTGTGTGTGTACGTATGTGTCTATTATCTGAGACTTTATTTATAAGTACAGGTATTTTATTTAACTAAATTATGTTAGCAAGTATCCTAGGAGAAATAGTCAGTGATATATTTGGCAAACAAAAAGTTTTGTTGATCACTCGTTCACGACAAGTCTCTTAGGCAGTCCGACCCTTCTCGCCCGGACTCCTTTCCTCCCGACGCGTCACTCGCCGGCCGCGGGAACGAGAAGATGCGCAGAAACCCGAGCGCACAGGCGAGGTTCGCACCGCGGCCACGGAGCTCCTGTCCAATGCGCTGTTTCTGAAGCTTATCTGTTTCGAGAGAGAAATGGGAAGGCACTGCATTAAAAATTCTGTTGAGATCCAATGGAAAAAAGCTCAGCGCAAGAAACACTTGATTCACTCTTACCAATCAACCCTTAGATATTCAGGCCTGACAAGGAGGACTAAAAATTCCTTTCTAATTATGATTTTTACCTTTTATGGCAACAAGTGACATGCAGAACCCCCTTGTTCTTTTAGTTAGCAAGTTTTCATGCACACCCTTTCAAATTTATTGGGTATGCCAATACTCCATATATTGCATAACTGCATGGCTCACTCTCTTGTCAAGTTTAGCTAAATATCTGAATCTACAGGGCTTAATTGCTGGCAAGTTTACTTCTTAATATAGCAGATGACATTCCTTGCATACCGTATTTCTTTGGGAAGAGTACAAGGCATTCTGAATTCCGTCCGAGGCAGACTTGCTGTACCGTATCGCACACCCACTCCCAGGAAGGGGGCGTGACATGCTTGAGGTCCAGAGTCAGGTGCTTTACCTCACAGGGAAGGGCGCTCATAGAGTCAACTGGAGGGCAGTCCAGCAGCCTTACAGCTGACGAAGAAAAAGTAGCATTGCCATAAGAGTGACTGGGCATCAGTGATAGCAACGATGGTCATTAGCCAATGAATTCAACCAATACATACTCAAAAAGAACAGCTTTGTCAAGCAGGGAAGTCTCCTTGCCAGAGCCCGGAGACCCGCGCCGTCTGTCTGGACCCTGAGCGAGAAAAGCACCTCGGGCAGGAGGGGCATTTCTGCCTCCGTCAGGTGGCCTTCGAAGTCTGTCGGAAATTCAATATTTACTGCCTTCTTCATTCCCATATTGATAATATAGATAAAGACATTCCTGCTACTGCTAGCTTTGTTTCTGCATATATAATTCATGAATGACTATTTGCTTTAACGTTGACAGGTGACGACCTCCCACCTAAATGCTCCAGCTTCACCAGGCGAGGAAGGCTTGCTGCCAGGGCCCTGAAGCCTTCCCTGTCCGTCTTCACTTCCAGCTTCCTCAGGATGCTGGGCAGGAGGCGCACGTCGGCGGCTGTCAGCTGACCCTTGAAATCTACATCATTTGTTAAGTTAGTGTAAACCATAATCTTATCATCATCATTAACAGACACATCAGTAAGTCCTCATGCTAGGTACATGTTATATGCATGATGTATATATATGAACAAATATGTATCTATATCTTTATCTATCTATATATATGTATGTAAGCAATGCATATAGTCTCTCATTTTTGGGAGAAGGGGCAGGAGAGCGGTCTCCTGCCCCTTCTCCCAAAGATAAGAGACTATATGCACTGCTTATATACATATATAGATAAAGATTTAAATAAATATTTGTTCACACACACACACACACACACACACACACACACACACACACACACACACACACACACACACACACACACACACACACACACACACACACACATATATATGTACATCATGCATATAACATGATTTCATTACAAGCCTACTACCTCTATAGTTGCGGAATCAAATCTAAGTATACTGTCTGGGTCCCACTTGTGTACATCTTTCACGCACTTCGATGTAAACAAAGCGAATAGTAATTTTATGAATGAGGCGGAACCCCTAGGCTGTTTGTAATAAAGATGATTGGTAGAATTTAAATGACCAATAAGTGTATTAGTATCTATTTTTGGAAACTACGTAAGCCATTTCATCTTTCGTTCTCTTCGCACAAGTGATAACAAAACATGTAATACCAGTTACCGTTGACTTTGTTTTGGGATATTTTTCAAATGCGATTTCCTGGAATTGTTTGTTTCTCGAAATTGCAACACCTATGGAGGTGAGGCGATATTTCCCCCTTTTTCAGTTATATCTGCATATTTCTTGAAACTCGAGAACACTTCATTCTTTAAATATCTATGTACGGCAGCTGTATCAAATAAAAACCTTCAATATCTTATCACTATGTGTGTGTGTGTGTGTGTGTGTGTGTGTGTGTGTGTGTGTGTGTGTGTGTGTGTGTGTGTGTGTGTGTGTGTGTGTGTGTGTGTGTGTGTGTGTGTGTGCGTGCGTGCGTGCAATCTCTATAGAAATACGAGTCAACATTTGGTGATTAGTAACGCAACAGTATGTATAATTCTTTTCGATTATTCTGATCATAGTTTTCGCTATTATTATTCCATAAGTCGCGGCGTTTCTCAGAGGAGTCGCATTAAATCAGCAGAGCGAGAAAATACATGTTTGCTTGTTTCCGCTCGAGCAACTACGAGCCGAGTGGTTCCAAGGAGGGTGAAAAACAAGTCTAAAAACTTACTCCCAATACATGTGTTGTATAATATCCGATATCTTGAAAGAAAAGTCTTGCTCGATCTGACAAAATAACGGGTAATTCTAATGTATAAGAAAGAAAATATATGTTATGGTATAAGACGTGATAACCGGAAAAGGTGAAAACGAGGCTGCCAAGGTGACACCTTTTTCAACAAGGCAATCTGAAATTGCAAATATCACTGGGATAAGGTAAAGTAATTTCTCTCCCAGTGGAATAACCAGAAAGCCGGGTATCTCCCGCTCGATGGTGTGAATAAGGTGGGAGGAGGAGGGCACCCTGAACGACCCCCTCGTTCCGTTGCCCTTTCACCTATACAATCTACACCTCCCGCTAACAAACTGCACGGTGAAAAACGACTACATGCAGATGGGATTCAAAACTTATCAAAGAGAGGTTGAAAATACGACATTGTCAACATCGCCTCCAGATCGCCATTTTATCTACACTTACGCACATCCTGTACACGGATGTGCATCGACAAACAGAATGACAAAAGCAGAGCGCGAGATGACCTGGCCATTTCATCAGAATGAACTTTTTTTTCAAGATATCAGATATCATACAGCACATGCATTGGGCGTAAGTTCTTAGACTTGATGTTCACACTGACCCTCTTTGGAACTACCCAGCTCGTAGTTGCTCGAGATGAGACAAGCAATGTGTATTTTCTCACTCGACCGTTCGAATGTGGATGACTCCTCAGAGAATAATAATAGCAAAAACTTTGGTCACATTTTATCAGAAGACAAAGGGCATTCAGATTAATCGAAACGAATTAGGCATTGTTTTTGTTGTTTTTTTAATCATCACCAATTATTCACCGTATCCCCCCCACCCCCTCCGCACACAGTGATCAAGAAAAGAAAAAAAAACAGACACTTCATTAGTTTGGTTAGCCGCTACTAGATGGTGTGCCACGGCCTAAGAAAAGCATTTACAAAGGTATCAGTGATTTTGCAAAGATTGTTATTTTATTCAGCTGCCTTACATAGATGTGATGCACATTTGTTTAGAAATTGTATTGAAATAAAGGGGAAATACCGCCTCACCTACATAGGTGTTGCCTTTTCGATAAACAAAAAATTCTAAGAAATCACATTTTGGAAAAAAAAAAATCACTACAAAATCAACGATACCTAATACTACATGTTTTGTTATCATTTATGTGAAGAAAACGAAAGATGTTATGACTTACGTAATTTCCAAAAACATACTAATACACTTACTGATCATTAATATTCTTCCAAACACACTCTTTTACACACAAACTAGGGTTTTTGCCTCATTCATAAAATTACTATTTACGCTATGTTTACATCGAAGTGGCTACCAGATGTACAAAAATAGGATCCAGCAAGTCTATTGAAATATAATTCCTCAATTCCTGTTTAACTCACCTAAGATCTGAAGTCTCCGTAGAAGTTGAAGCCTCGTCACTAAAGCCCGTACTCCCTCCCCGTCAGACTTGGTTCTCATCTCTTCCAGGTGATCAGGAAGAAGCTGCATCCCGACCGCTGTCAATTCACCTTCGAACTTGGTCAGCCGACAAACACTTCCTGGGCCTGTGGTTGCCCGGAGACATGCCTCAGAAAACTGAATAGAACTCTTTATATCACTTATAATGAGTATGACTTCAATGTTCTGCTTGGACAATGCCTCCAGACCAGAGACCTGCCAGCTTGGTGGCAACTCTTCTGTCTCTTTACTCATGAAGACTTCCACGCAGGAAGGCCTGACGTAGTCAAACAAAGCTACGAAGCCAGGCAGATACTCCCCTCGAGTCATTAGTGTGCCACTGTTTCTCAGCACTTTGGCAGCTGCCTCTAAGATACTAGCATGTTGTCCCGAAGCCATCACCGTCTCGCAGATCCTGTGGCAGCTATTCTTACTGATCAGATGAGATTGATCACTGTATAATATAAAGCTGATGATAGCAGATGCAAACTTATCCAGAAAGTTTTCTTGTGACAATGACAAAATACGTGCAATGTGAAAAACGATTTCCATTAGTAATTCTGATATATCTCCTACTATATTTTGCCATGCCAGTTCTTGTGCCTCTTCAATATTGTCTGCATAAATCTGGAGAATAGGATTTTTGTTGAACATAAAGGTTACTACTTCCTCCTCAGTTGGCAGTCCTGGCATACCAATCTTTTTCTTCTTCTCGGCATCAGTTAGGAAATCAAAATCCAACAAGCCTGTCATGTCTGGCAGTGCGTGGGACATCTTTGACAACTGTGTAGCTATATGACTTGCAGCCCAGTGTTCTTGAAATCGATTGTGAGGGAAGGACCACACTTGGACGATAAACAGACCTTGCCTAAATTTCTTTGAGGTAAGAAATCCAGATAGAATTTCTTTGTGTGGCAGATTTAGCTCAATTGCACTTTGCTTTCAAATCTGCCACTGTTTCTGACAGCAAGTCATGTTCGTGTTTCTTCAGACATCGTAGAGCAACTCCTCTCTGGAAATCATGATATTCTCGAACTTTGTCCAGAGTTACACCAATGCCCTTTGCTGCCACTCTCTCCTTGACTTTTTTAATCATGAGGGATGTCAAGTCCTGATAGACATCAGGTGAGCTCTCATCTGGAGCCTCAACGTCGCGTATGATCAACAGGGTCAGGGTTAGAGGAACGTCCATATCTCCCTGCTCCGTTTTCAAGTTCCAAAGATTACTAATGATTTTCTCTTTCAATTCATCCCTTCGCACTGGATCATGTACAAGAGCAGTTAGAGTGTTTTCAATAAAGTAGGAGCGATCTTTCCTATCAATGCCTTTGATTTCGATGTTCATTACTTGCTTCTTATTCTTCATTATTTGAGTCAGCTCTTTCTGACAGCTCGGTCTAGTGGTTATCAAAATACGCATGTTTCTTCGGTAGCTTATGAGATCAGTTATGAGCTCCTTTGCCTTTTTACTCACTTCATCATAACCATCCAGAAGGACTACAACATGCATAGCCTGAAATAGATCGGCAAAAACGTCAGTAGTAAGTCCAGACTCCTGAAATGTACTGCAAAGGGCACTCTTAAGCATGTCCTTCCAGTTGGTAATGGTGGACCCTCTCAGCTGTAGGTACAGTAGAGGAGAAACAGCTTGAAGTCCCTTGATTTGCGAGGGATCTCTCACCCACATCTCCAACATGTGCTTCAGCAGCGTGGTCTTCCCCATTCCTCCTTCACCTGATATTATGATCACTTCAGGCAGGCGACCGTAGGCATCTGTGATTTGCAACAGATCCTTGTGAGATATGTCCCGAGGCTGGTGTTGCAGTTGCTGAGACGGTGACAGAGTTGAGGTGTCCTCTTTGATTACCAGGTTCGTAAAGTTTACACTCGGTCGGATTTTAAGGTCTGGATACAGCCACTGTGCAAGAGTCACATCCCACAGTTGCGGGTAGAGACCACGCAGCTCCCGCTCACTCGCCTCCCTTATCTTGTTCTGAAGTGCTTTTTGAAAGACTTGAATTTCTTGTTGCAGTTGTGGGAACTTGTCCAGGTCTGAAGCCTGAAGAGGTTCTCTAACCTTTTTTAAGAGGTCCTGAAAGTTTTGCTTGATCTCCCAAACCTGATCACGGAAAACATGAGGACGTATTCCACATCTGTTCCCGGCCAACCTAAGAATCCTAGAGAACAAGCACCTAAGTTTCCTCAACTCTTTCATAAGCTCTTGGTCCGACATCTGCCGGACGTCATTTGTGTGCGCAATGTCGTTGCGCTTTATTTTCACCTTGTGCAGGAGATGCTCCAGAGGCTGGCCCGTGGGAGGGGAAGCCCAGGCAGGGTCGCTCGGGCCAGCCAGTCCGCACATGAGTTGGAGAACACTGTAGAGCAGTGAGATGTCGTACTCCTTAAATGGGACACCTCTCTCTAACAAATGCCTTTGCTCGCTGTTGAACTTGCGTTTGTAGTCTGCCTTGGAGTGCCCTAGACTGAGAAAATAGGTCTTTACACAGGGCCCGCCTTGGTACATCCACTCCACCGCCTGCACCAGCACTGCGCGGCCCTTGGTGACCACAGCCACCTGGTAGCGGAATCCATTCACAGTGTGTCTCGTGAGCATTGCTGTTCTGGATCGAGTTGCCATCTCGGTACTTCCCTAGAACCAGGTCTTCGCCAATATGCTTCAGAAGATGAAAATTTTGATTTTCAAACAGCCTCACATTTAATGTAGTATAACTGAGTTTTATATTAGCGTTGTATTTCATTTCAGTGCTCAGGTATAGTTTTCGGACTCTGTAAAAAAAAAAATACAGAATATATTGTTTTTAGCCAGAAAGAGGATTGTTTAATAGATTCTGTAAATCATAATATATATTAATCATTTTGTCTATACCGCGGCTTTAAAAGTCCAATCTAGGCTCTCGAATATGCAGGCGTTTTCTTTCCCTTAGTTTCTCTTACTAACTTCGTTAGCAGATTTTTAAACACCTCGATCTTGGTTTCATCATCAAACGCGATCCGGTCACAGTACTCTTCGGCCCGACATTAATTTGAGATTTGCTTTTTAAATCTTTAAAAAATGATAATAAAAATGTATGTGTGTGTGGGTGTGCGTGTGCGTGTGCGTGTGCGTGTGCGCGTGCGCGTGCGCGTGCGTGTGCGCGTGCGTGTGCGCGTGCGTGTGCGCGTGTGTGTGTGTGTGTGTGCGAGCGCGCATTCGTGCGTGCGTGTCCAGGTGTTCATTTTCATAGACATATAAGAAGGAAAACAAGAATAGAAAAAAAATGGAAACACCTAACAACTATCCGTTGCCATGGAAACCCAAGCCGCGTATGTGCTAGTGGTTTATATGCTAGTGATTTTTAATAGTAGTCATTAACCTGCTTCGTGAGTTCCTCTGAGTTGAGTATAAGAGATGAAGAAACAGAATATTGAAAAAAAAATCGTTAGAACCCAACCTGTGTATGCCCCATTTACCCATGCAAATTAGTCATTACCCATGTATGGAATGGTCCTTAATTAGTTAATTGGGAATAAGATGTTTTATTTTCCAATTTTAGTACGGGGTTTTGTGTATGTTAAGCCATATTTTTAAAAACAAATGAATAGGCAAATCCCTGTAAAATATATATAATAGCTTGCCCTATCAAATACTCGTTTTCGCAATACATTTTCTTTTAGTTCAGGGTATACTGTTATATTCACTACCATCTAATTATATCATAATTATACAGTCGATACTTTAACGAAGAAATAAATTTATATTGCTTTTGTTATAAAAAACATTTAGGTTGTGGAGAAGAATTATGTCGCAGTCAAGAGTCCTCAGGAAAGATGAAGGTTTCTCTGGAAAGAAGGAAGGAGGCCGAAGGAGGAGAAAGAGGAGGAAGAGGACGAAGACGACAGGGGAAGAATGGCCCGAGGATGGAGTAACTTCGGTAGAAGAATTTAACCAGTAGGGTAACTAGACGCGTTATTTTGACGTGTAATGATTTAGGAGTGAATGTTTCAAGTATGTATGTGTGTGTGTGTGTGTGTATGTGTGTGTGTGTGTGTGTGTGTGTGTGTGTGTGTGTGTGTGTGTGTGTGTGTGTGTGTGTGTGTGTGTGTGTGTGTGTGTGTGTGTGTGTGTGTGTGTATGTATGTATGTATATATATATATATATATATATATATATATATATATATATATATATATATATATACAATACCTCTACTGATAAAGGTAGATCAAAGTACCTTTTATTTTTGTTAATTGTAGATTTCTAATGAAAGTAGTGCCAAAAAGTTGGGGAAAATCTAAAAAAAAAAAAAAATTATTTAAGGGTGGGCGCTGCTCCCTAAAGTTCACTTTCAATACCAACTCACCTGAAGCTCTGCGACTTTGCAGGAGCCGAATCCGCATTGCTTCTCTCCTCCCGACGACGAGTACTTCTTAAGACGCTCTCACTCTCACTCTCTCTCTCTCTCTCTCTCTCTCTCTCTCTCTCTCTCTCTCTCTCTCTCTCTCTCTCTCTCTCTCTCTCTCTCTCTCTCTCTGTGCTGTCTGGAGATCTAGGACACAGATGCATCTCTGCGTTCCCAAAAGTCGCCTTCTGGCTTGCGGCTGCGAAAGACTGCCTGAACGAGTCCGGTTCGAGCACGCCTTGGGAAAAGACAGAAGGATATTTCCTAGGTCTCTTGCCATCGCTGTTTGTTCAAGTGTGGGATACCTTTTGTTCCTGACAGTCGACAGCGTGGAGGACTGACTCTGCAACTGTTCGTTTGTCTGAGTATGTCGAATGACTTGGGCATTTCCAGTACTGCGACTGTTGGAATGAGATCCTCAGAACCTGACAAAATGAGTATCTGCCCTTGATGACCTAAGCGTTGTAGCTCATCATATAGTACAGATAACTTTGGTTTCACATGCTCTTTCATTCAATGTCCTCTTACACATATAATACATCTTTAGCAACTGTATTTACAGCATAACTATTAACTACATGATGATGAAGTCTAATGTACAAACAGTGCTTATTAAGACTTTTTCGAAATGAGAAACCCCGACAGCATTTCTCGGTGCGGTAAGTTGAGACTATTGCACTTTGCTTTCAACTGTTCAGTGCCTTCTGCTCTTCGGTCGCTTCCCAGCCTCTTCACACCCCAGGGAGCGACTGTCTTCTGTAACTCGTGGTACGCTTGGATTTTCTCATTCGCGTCCTCAACGCCCTTCAAGACCAACCTCTCCTCTATCTTGCCCATCATGAGAGCCGTCAGTTCGTCGTAGATGTTTCCTGGGCTGTCGTCCGAGGCCTCCGCCTCACGGATGACCAGGAGAACGATCGCTAAAGGCATGTCCAACTCGTCCTTTTGCAACTGAAGGTTTTCCAGATGTTGCAGGACCTGGTCCTTCATTTTGTCTTTGAGGACCGGATTCTCTACAAGAGCTGCCACAGTACTTTCAACCAAGTGTGGCCGATCTTCCCGGCGAATCCCCTGGATTTCAACATTCATTACCAGCCTCTTGTTCTTCATCATCTGCGTCAGTTCCCTCGCACACTCTGGTCTTGTGGTTATGACAATGCGCATGTTGCCTTGATAGGTCAGCAGGTCGGCAATAAGTTTCTTTGTTTTCTTGTTTACTTCATCATAACCATCCAGAAGCACAACAACATGCATTGCCTGAAATATATCTAAGAAGGTGTCCATAGTAAGTCCAGATTCCATAAATGTGTTGCAAAGGAGATTCTTAAACATTTCCTTCCAGCTGCTGATGTTGGAGCCTCGGAGTTGAAGGTAGAGAAGGGGCGAGACGTCTTGAAGGCCCTCGATTTGCGAGGGATCTCTCACCCACATCTCCAGCATGTATTTCAGCAGAGTGGTTTTTCCTATTCCTCCTTCTCCTGATATTATGATCACCTGAGGTAGATGACCATCACACGTGAC